TTTTCTTTTCTTGTTTCAAGTTGTTCGTTACCTTAATGAAATTCTCGTACTTGCTAAAATAAAAAAACAAAGGTTACTCGCTTTCAGAAAGGAGGGAAGGTTTAGGAGTTCCGGCAATTTTGGTGAAATAAAAGAATAGGGATTGATTACGTCTTTTCACATAACGAAAATATACGTGGCTTTCTGCTTCTCCAAGAATCGTTGTACTGAGGTTCTCCTCGTCTTAGGAACCTCTGCAGGGGGAGTATGTTATTTATATGAGGAGAAGTTTACAATGAGATTATTTATTTTTGGTATAAGGTGGTCATAATTGATCTTGACTACTGGATGTAAAGTTGGATGGCTATATTTATTCAATTTATCGAGCTCAAATTTAAACAGAAAATTTTTCGAACTTTGTGACGCATCTAGTTGTCAGATTTTAGATCAGATGATTACAAGTAATTGTGACCTCCTGGTAGGGCTGAGAATTTATCTGCTTTGGATTCGAAACTAGAATTTTGAATCCTATCGGAATCCAAGTATGGATCCAAGATGTGGATTCGACGGTTCGGATCTAGATCCAAAATTTGGACCTGAATAGTTCTTCGAATCAGATTCGGTTACAGGTGAATCCGATCCGCAACCGACACAATAATTAATATATAATATATTATTTTATATATGTACATATATGTTATATAGCATTTTTTGTTATATATTATTTTATAGATATAAAATAATCTATAAAATAATATATAAATTAATTTTTTTGGATCCGAGTAACATGTATATTATTCATATATGGAACCAGATTCGAATATTCTAGATGCGATCTGATCCGAATTCCATATATACTTTTTGGATCTGAATTTGGATCTTGATAGATCCAGACCCGATCCGACCCATTCTCAACCCTACCTCCATGTATCAATGTTCTCACTTTGTATTATTAACCCACGGTGAAATGCCTCAACTTTGGACAAAATCACAAAACTGTTTATCTGTTTCTTTTTCCCTTTTTTTTTTTCTTTTTGCATGCCTTACCTAAGATGTTTTGCGATTAAGAGTGAAAATTTATGTATAAGTGAATAAAGATACATTTGTGCATAGAAAAGATATAACGTGTCAATTTTATATGTGAAAATAAGGTGCACCTTAAAACTCCGATCCAAAAAGTTATTCTGGCGTCGAAAAGCCTTACAATTGATCATTGCGACCTCGAGATGTATAGATATAAAAAAAAAAAGGACTTCAAATCTTAAAAATAGCATATTGTAAAACATTATCTAGACCATCCAATTTTAAAAAATTCAAGTATTCATATATATGCTTGATCTACACTATTTATTTAGCTTTAAATTCATTGGCAAGGGTGAAAATCTATACTTTTTATGTCATCATAAGAGTTTTCGGTACAAGTTCTGCCTCTTTGAACTAAATTTAGATGTGGCCTTTAATTGTTTAGGGTTGACACTTGACATCTTATACAAACGTCAACCTTTACACATGGGAAAAGTTTATATCGAGTCGATGTTCTAAATAATCAAATTAGAGCCAACTCAAAAATTTTGCTAGAAGAGGTTGTTTTGATGCTCAAATATACTCAAATTGATCATCTCGACATTAAGATGCATAAATATGAGAAAAAAATGGATTCCAATGTTTTGGAAATAGTATATCTTATAATGTATTTTTGGACCGTCAATTTTTAAGTTCTTATAGATCAGCTTGATCTACACTATTTTTTCATAAAAAAAAATGAATTTCAAGTTTTGGAATGATATGGCACTACTCTTCCACCAGCATGGTTGAAGTGCCAGGTTGGCACGCCACAATTAAGAGTACAAGTTAAGGAATAGAATATTGCTTATCCTGTAAATGCTAATTGACATGTTTGAGCCTCAGAGATATGGCAAAAAAAAAAACGCCAAAATTTCAAAACTGAATTAATTTGGGTAAATAAAAGCAAAAAAAAGAATGAAACAAATAAAAACCATAAGGGAGGGGGGGGGATCCGGCTGGTCAGAACTAAATCGGTCCCAACTGGTTCTCGGTCAGGAGTGAGTGATTCCCCATCCAGGCCACATCTTTCGACACACTAATGAAGACCATTAAAGGTGCCAAATTTTTATTCTAACCCATAAAGGCCACTAAAGACAAGGATTAAGTATGGCTATTGGGACGGGAAAAGAATAGCATAAGACCATTTGATTTCAGTACAAAGAGGTTACGATCACTATCGGCCATTGAATTGTCAAATTGGGTAGTTGAGAATTTGCCATTAACTTAGCTCGAATTCTAGAAAAATTTTTGCGAGTTGTGATGTACCCCAAGCCATTAAATTTGACATGGGTTGATTAAAATCTTACTACAAATTAATAGTCTCATAATATACGATCCTTTATTTAATTTGTTTTTTTATCACCCACCATCTGGCTATTCTTCGCTGTACTCGCAATCGAAAATCTAGATGCCGATGGGAGACGCCAATAGGCTCCAAATCTTTCCCCTATTTTCTGAATCTTGATTATACCGTTTGTTTGTTTGTGTTAGCCTATTGTAGACAATAGGGCTAAATAATCCTTCTACTCCTCAATGATTCTGTCAATTTATTGAAATGAAAATATCAAATGAACATGTAAAGGCTAATCTACTGTTTTCCAACCCTTAACACGCTTTTGTTAAAAAATAAAACAATAGGGTTAAAAAGATTATTTCGTACCCTGAGCCATCACATATTCACACGTCACCGAACGATAGCATCTGTTATAAAATAAAGGAAAAATATTATATAAAGTTGCACCCTTAAATTGTGGAGTGATGACGCACTTCAAAAATTTATCGAAAAAAGCTATTTTGATGTTGAAAAACCCTTTAATTGATCATCTCAAAAAACAAAAAAGATTTCGAATCTCGATTATAGTGCATCTTGCAACACATTATTTGGACTGTTCATTTTCAAGATTTTCATGTGTTTATATATCTATTTAATTTGAACCATGCTTGGAGTTTAAAATTTGATAATTAGAGATGAAAATGGATTGGTGTACCATCCTAAGAATTTTTGACACAGAAATTACATCTTATGATAAAATTTGGGGGTGCCACTTAATTTAATTGTTTAAGGTTACAACCTTATGCGAACCACATCCTAAAATAAATGTTTAGAATGTGTGCATGCGTTTACTTAGTTTAAAACCCTACTAGGTATTTAGAAGTTAGTCTTGTCATTTTTCAGAATAAAGAAACTGTTTTTTTGTGTTTGTAGAGTTGTAACTTTTGGACTGTTTATAAGTGCCTTTGTTTATGCGGGAGTAACACTCATATAAAAACAATATTACATGTAATACAAATAGCCCCAAGAGCGTTTGATCCGCCTGATCTATAATTTATAGGAGAAGTACATTTCAAAGACACTCGTTTTTAGTAACAGGAATGGTTATGCTTAGACCAACCATAACGAATCAAGGCACAATGGACATGAATTACCATATCAATCGAGGCTAAATAACTAATTTTACAATGTAATTAGAGACTCCAGATGTACATCAACTATTTAAATATATAAATAAAGGCCAATGGATTCCTATAATATTAATAAAATGCAAATAGTGACAGCTTAATATCAGCCAAGACTAGGGAGATTTAAAATTGCATCTCATATCAGAGTGCGTGAATCAATTATACTAAGAAACTTTAAACCAATGTTTTATTAGGATTAGCCACCGAATTGGTCAGAAATCTAGTCCAGTCAAATCTCTATGACCGTCAGTTGAATTGGTTGGAGCGTATATAATAAAAGTAAAAAATAGTAATAATTAAAAGTTCAAAAATATAAAACATATTAAAAAATTTAATCAACTTTTTTTAACCAATCTAACTTGTCAAAATCGGCTAAGCCAGACTAGTATTTGAAAGGAGCTTGTCTAACCCAAAACTCACCCGATTTGGACCAAATCAGGAGTTTGACGATTGCGATGCACAAAGCCCTTTCAATCATACAAGACTCAAAATTGTTCTTCTTATTAAAGTTCCCATGTTGGAGGCAAGAGTTGCCCCTACTAGGAGGCGTTGGACTTGGACTCAACGAGTCGACTTGAATCCGACTTTTCAAATGCTGGTTTAAAGCACTGAGCCCCACTTTTCTTTTCTTTTCTTTTTTAGTTTTTTATTTTTTTATTTTTTTTATTTTTTTCAATTTCCAAGAACAAGAAAACAATTGTCCAATACGAATCTTTTAAGCTTGGGGTTGTATTAGATGTTGACTTGTGTAGGCAAATGATCTGAACCGTCCGTTCACATATTAAATTTTATAATCAAATTGTTCCTCATACTAATTTATTTTTATATTTTTTGATAATGACATGCTAAAATTTATAATCAAATATCGTTTAAGGTCTGCCATTGGTTGTATCATCATGAGAGCCTCACAAAGCAATTGAGGGACCGTTGTTGTTTCCGCCAAATATGAAGATACAAATTAGATTCAACCCTAGGCAACATAGGAGCCGGCCAATGGACAAGATTCCACACAACTCAAAGGTCGCCACTTCATGACACCCAGGCAAGCACACAATGTAGGAAAAAAAGAGTAGTTTAACATGGACGGTCCGGATCTGCCCTAAATCAACATCTCTCCACCATCCAGCTAAGAGAGTCTAAATCTCGGCACGTCGTTTGGCGTCGCACATGTGTATGTGGCACACGTGCATGTAAGTATATATCTGAACTCCCCTCACATAGAATCTCAAGTCTATCCCATTTTGATCGCATACAAGGCCACCCACCCTCAAGAGTAGAGAGGTCTAGCCCAGTGGTTGGACCCTCTCGTTGGCTGGGCTCAAGTCCTTGGTTCTATCTCAGAACCTAACTCATTTGATTCTTTGAGCTTTGGTTGAGCACATTATCACCTAGGTTTAGTAACTTGGAATACCTAAAGAAGTAAGAGAAAGGAAAAGCAGGACAGATTTTCTAAACCAGAAGAAGAGAAAAATTTTAGAGGAGAGTAGCAAAAAGAAATGACTAACTATTCTACACTGCCTCCAAACCTCATCCCAGATGACGGTAGCCCACCATGGATGAACAAAGGAGACAATGCTTGGCAACTCACTGCGGCGACGCTTGTCGGCCTACAAAGTGTCCCGGGACTAGTGGTTTTGTATGGAAGCATTGTAAAGAAGAAATGGGCTGTGAACTCGGCTTTCATGGCCCTGTATGCCTTTGCAGCTGTGTTGGTTTGCTGGGTTGGATGGGGATACCACCTATCCTTTGGGGATCAGATGATTCCATTTTGGGGACGACCGAATGTGGCTTTGAGCGAGAAATATCTTTTGCAAAAAGCCTTTTTGGGCATGTTTCCTAATGCAACAATGGTTTTCTTCCAGTTTGTGTTTGCGGCCATTACGTTGATACTGATAGCTGGGGCGTTGCTTGGGAGGATGAATTTCCATGCTTGGATGTTGTTTGTTCCTCTGTGGTTGACATTTTCATATACCATTGGAGCATATAGCATATGGTGTCCAACTGGATTTTTGTCCCTGCTGGGTGTTATTGATTACTCCGGCGGTTATGTCATCCATCTCTCATCAGGCATTGCAGGATTTACTGCAGCATATTGGGTAATTGTTTATGCACATATACATGTAGACTTTTCTATGAGTAATACATGCCATGAAATCATACAGGCTTAGATTTAAAAAAGAGTGTGAACTGTCAATAATGTAGTTGCTCCCTCTCTTTTTACCATGGCTATGAAATGAAGAAGGACATTTGCTTGATGGAAAAAATAGACACACCTTTAAGTTTCTATCAAGTTATAGTTTCCCTCCAAATCCTATGAAACCACTCTATCTATTAGCATTTATATGTCAATAATGGTTCTTCTTCATTCGCCACTTATATTATTGTATATGTACATGAAAATGGTATGTATGGTATTTCAACCTCTCAATGAAAAGGAACTGGGGTCGTGGTGCTCTTACCCTACAACTTAGTTACCATATTGTGGTTTTCATTCCCACCGCCAACATCACCCCACTAACATCTTCAAAAGCTAACTCTTAATCTACTTGAAAGAAATGGGTAGGGGCATGTACTTTTACTTCCAAGGGGTGGTCACACCCTTGGCATTTCTAATAAGGTCATTCACCTTTAATTCGATAAAGTTGCAAACAATTACCCTTAGCAATCAGATGTGAAAATCAATATGCTAGGATTGTATCATTTTTTACACAAAATTGTGAAAACTTTCTTGAACTTTGAACACAATGAGTAGCACACTTCAAGCCACATGATTTTACATATGACGCCTCAGAGTGATTGTGACCTTCTTAAAACAATGATAGATGATCTTAGTATTTACTTTCCCCAAAATAATAGTGTAGTATTAAAATATCATGGTCTTTTTATAATTTCATATGATTATTTATTCATTGTGAGTTATATTCACAGGTTGGGCCTAGGATCACCGCAGATAGGGAGAGGTTCCCACCCAACAACATCCTTCTTATGCTTGCAGGGGCTGGGTTGTTGTGGATGGGTTGGACTGGATTCAATGGTGGAGATCCTTATGTTGCAAGTATAGATGCATCGTTGGCTGTGCTTAACACCCATGTGTGTGCAGCCACAAGCTTGCTCACATGGCTCTTCCTTGATATTATCTTCTTCGGAAAACCCTCAGTAATCGGAGCTGTCCAGGGTATGATCACCGGTCTGGTGTGCATTACCCCCGCAGCAGGTTCTCTCTCTCTATATGTACAATAACTGTGAGATATTTATGTTAGGAAAAATATACACTAAAACTATTTATTTTTGGTATAAAGAGGGTACACAACACCATCAGCCATTGGATGTGAATCAGGCAGCTGGATATGTGAATTAACTATGCTCAAAGTCTAAGGAAAATTCTAAAAAATTGTGGCACATTCCAAGCTGTTAATTCCACACATGACGGTTAAAGATGATTTTGAACTCCCAGTTCCAAAAAAGTCTTGTATTACGTAATCTTAGTTTTAGTGTTTGTTGTTGAAAGGATATTTTTTCACTTTTAAGCCCTTCTTTCGCGCACACACATAAATGCTTGTGTATGTTTTTGCATCCGTAACATTCATTTTCCTTTTTTTTTTTCAAGGCCATACCGACCTCTCTCTCTCTCAAAGTTTCTCACAAAAATCATCTCACTTCAATAACAGGTGTTGTGCAAGGGTGGGCAGCGATCCTCATGGGACTACTCTCAGGGAGCATCCCTTGGTACACCATGATGGTGCTCCACAAAAAGATCAAGTTCCTTAAGATGGTAGACGACACCATGGCCGTATTCCATACACATGCAATCGCGGGCTCTCTCGGTGGAATCCTCACAGGATTCTTCGCTGTTCCCAAGCTCAACCGCATCTTCTATGGAGGCGAAGGAGACGAGAACGGAATCCATCTTAACTACATAGGCCTGGCTTACGGTATACAAATGGGGCAATTTCAAAGAGGGCTTAGGCAAATGTGGGTGCAACTTGTAGGGATATTGTTTGTGATAGTGGTAAATATCACAACCACTAGTATAATATGTTTCATAATCAGTAAGATTGTGCCATTGAGGATGAGTGAGGAAGATTTGGTAACTGGTGATGACGCGGCTCATGGAGAGGAGGCCTATGCTTTGTGGGGTGATGGGGAAAAATTCGATAGCTCAAGGCATGGAAACTCGGTGTTTGAAATGGAGGAGTCTCGAAAGCCTAGAGGGGCCCATGCTGAGGCTTAAAACTGATGGTGGATCAAGGGGTTCAATGGTGGAGATGATGTGAACTTAGGGCTAGGGTGTAGCTCTTATTTGGTTTTTTTTGTTTTGTTTTCTTTTTGTTTTGTCTTGCTAGGATTTTCCTCTCTCTCTCTTCTGTCTTTTGTTCTTCTTTGGTTTTTCTTTTTGGTGTGTCTTGAAAGGGTTTTCTTGGGTCTCTCTGTATGGGGTAAAAGTTCTTTCTCTCTCTCTCTCTCTATGGGGTGGCAGTTGATTCCAATGAGAAACTTGTTCCTTGATATATGAAGCGTCACTGCGACCTAGTGTTTGATTTGGTTTGCATTGAGTCTAGAATTTACTTAGGAGGGAAGTAATAAAATGAGGGGCTTTAATGTCAATGCCATTGGGTATTTGGTTGATTTTGTGAAAAATCAGAGCTTGTTATTAATGTTTTGTGAGAATAAGCTGTTCGATATTTCGAATAATTATGACTATTGTAACGATAACAAAGAATCTTGCAAAAGAAGGGCTCCAAGCCTAAGTAAATGATGTGTGATTTTCCACCCTTTATGACATGAATCATACAAGTCATTTAGTACGAGAATCTTTGAGAGCAAAAAATACGCCTCATATATTTGTCATTTTCTCTCTATATTTCTTATTCTCCAAAGCCAGTGCAAATGACATACCATTGTTCTCTAGTTATTTTGCTTTTAATATATTCAATAAATTTTGTCGAAATGTGGTTACTTGTACTCCAACATATATATACATTGAATTTCGGGTGAAATTTATTATACCCTCTCCAATTTGATAAGTTCTTTACACTTCAAAAGTTGTAGACTCGGCCTATGATTCGCCTGAGTCAGCTTGGATCGGTGCCGTGGCAAGTCCGATGCAAAACCTTGGCACTTTCCCAAGTGTCCCCTGCCAACCTGATAAGTGCCGCCCCAAAAAGGCTGTATTGTTAAACCCTTAGTAGTTTGATACAGAGAGAGGAAACGAAACTATCATCATCATAATCTTTTTTCAACTATTTGGCATCGGCTATACGAATCTTTGTCTACTATTATGTTCTATCATGGGACATATCCTCGGTGAGGCCATAAATCTTTTTTTTTTTATCAAAGTTTATCAATTTTAATTCCAGAAATTCAAGCAAGATTACAATAATCAAAGAGAAATGAATCAAGAGATTGGCCAAGGGAGAAAGAAGCAAGCGAAACCCCTTTTTTGGTCAGATCATCAGCCACAACGTTGGCCTCTCGGTGAGGACATAAATCCCCTTATATTTTCTCACCACTTTCGACCATATCTTTTTTTGGGCCTATATTTTGCCATTTTTTAGCTTTCCACTTGAACCAACTTGCACTTCTTAACAGGTATTATATTAGGTTTGTATTACAAATGACCAACCCACCTAAATCTACTTTCTTTCATCTTATCACCAATTTGAATGACATCTAAGTTTTCTCAAATGTATTGAAATGAAACTATGGAAGTGAAAAAAAAAAGAAAAAGAAATGAAAGTGCAATTTGAGCCATTCTCACAAGGTGTTATATTTGTAAAATGAATACTCCCTTGGAGCATTAACATGGTGACTCCCTATAACGTATCCACCTTCCTATGGCTTTGTTTGTTTCTTCTTGAATGTTGACAAAAGGAGTTGTAAATTCTGGTCCCTTGAATTCTCAGAGTGCTTTGCCTAAAGTATACATTAAATTCCAAATATCAGGGGCTCTTTTGCAATCAAAAGTGAGATTACTCCTTCATATTGCATTTTAGCCTAAATAATATTTCTACCTAAGCGGAAGTGTTTGGTGACTTAGACCACGCATGCGTCTCCTCGAGATGGGTGGCAAGAAAGGCAATCCAATCAAAACTAAAAAAAATGAAGGTTCTAAATAAACCTTTTTAAGATTTTTTTATTTTCTCATATTCATGATCCTCGTGGTTGAGATCATCGGTCCTTAAAAACTTGGATCCAAAATCTATGATGTGTGATTTTCATGGATAGATTTGATAGTGCATGGCATTCCAATTGCTACTTGTGGAGTAGTGTTGCTTTGTCTAGTGGCGTGGACCGTAACAATTACAATCACATTTATCACAGTTGGATCGGACTGCTCTACCCAATCAATCATTTCACCATATGCGACTTCTTTGTTTGGTACAAAGCTAAAGCTTGATTTGATAAAAAATCTATCAAAATTAATATTTGATTGATTTTGGACAATTGGATGATCATTTTTTTATGGGTTAGATCAGTTAAACAAAGTTTGATACTTTTTACAATATATCTTACATTTTCCAACTAGTGTCTGTATTTTCTCTATTTTTTGAAGTTACAATGTAATCCATTCTATCGTCACTTTTTATTAGACTAAACCCTTCACCGATTTACTAACTGATCCAACCCCGATAGCACTAATTGAAAATAATTCGAGATTCAAATACTATTTTTGGTGCAGGGTTGAGCAAATAGTTTAAGAGGGTGGTAAAGTCCAAAATTCTATTCCCACTAAACCCCCAATAAACAATAAAGAAAAAGAAGTTGTCTAACACTTTTTAAAGTATCACAACTCATGATCAAGTCTCTTTTGATGAGCTTCAAAAATTAAAAGAAAAGATAAGTACATGTTGAATAATTGATCTCTTACATGCATTTTGATAAATTTCCATTAGAAAGACATATGCAAGATGAACTTTTGGTTATCACAAATTGTCAAATACAATCCACAAAAATATAAAAAGCTAAAAGATTTTATACTCCCACAGGAGCAAAAAATTAAATAAAAAGAATAATTGAACAAGGGTGTGGGTTGTATAGAGCCTAGGCTCTAAACAATCAAATTAGAACCTACCTTCAAATAGTGTTGAGAAATTTGGTTTCAATAATGGAAATCTTTGCGGTAGCCTTAAAATTTATTTTCATCTTTGTTTCTAAGGTTTAAAGTTAAAGAGATAGTGTAGATCGACAGATCTATGAAAACTTGAAAATATTAAAAATTGACGGTCCAAAAATGCATTGCAAAATATACTATTTCCAAAACTTGAACTCTATTTTTTTCTCATGTCCATGCATCTTGATGTTAAGATGATCAATTGAGAATATTTGAGCATTAAAACAACCTCTTCTAGTGAGAACCTCGGCTCTATATAAACTTATCCTATTGAACAATTGGGTCAGGAAAAGGGTGCAAACGTTGGGGATCATCACCACCAATCAATTGGTTGAAAAGTGGCGATTCTCGTAACCACCAAACAAGTGTAGCCACATGATTCACGGTACTAACGTCGGATGAGGGATACTTATGTAAATGAATAAACAAGCAGGGTAAGCTTTATATGTTTTTTCTATAATATAAAATTTATAAATTACCTTTTATCTAACCATCCATTTTAAATGAACGGCTAAAATTGTCTCAATCACAATGTCATGTATCTACACTATTTTATTTTTAATTTTTTTTATAAACTATTTTCACACCAAATTTTGCACGTCCAATTTTCTATTAACTCAGCACTAGCAAAAAACTATTAAAAAATATTTTCAAAAAAAATAAATCGACGAAAATGCCTTTGAAAAAGTATTTTAGTTATTATATTTTATCAAAATTTTATTTTTAATTTTTTTTATAGGTATGTTTTAATAAAAAGATGGTACGTACCAAATTTCAGATTCATACAATTTGTATAAAAAAATTAAAAATAAAATACTTTAACACATTAGATCTAAAATCAAACGGTAAGTAACTCTCTTGATCAAAATTAGACGGTTAGATGGTATAAAAAAAACTAAAAATAAAATACTTTAAAATACCGGATCTAAAATCAAACCGTGAGTGACTCTCTCGATGAAAATTGGACGGCTGGACGGCAGAGAAAGCATAAATCTTCGGAGCCGCAGGGGAAGCATGGAAACCTTTCCCTAAACCAATAAGAGGCGAGAACATAGTTTCTAAACCCTAGGTTCTCTGTTACAAGGGTTTTCTCTGAGCATTTTGGGTTCACTCCGATTGTGAAGAGGAAGCGCAATGTCTCACAGGAAGTTCGAGCATCCAAGGCATGGATCCTTGGGGTTTCTTCCAAGGAAGAGAGCCAATCGTCACAGAGGAAAAGGTGCAAACCCTAACCCTAACCCTAGATTTAACTGTTGTTGGGCTTCATGTAGCCACAATTCAAGATCTGAACCATCCACTCATGGACCAATCATTTTTATTCTTGCCCATCTGTAGATAATGGATGTGTGCTAGAATTTTTCTATCAAATTTTTTTTTTCGTTAGAAATTAAATACTCGGTGTTATTTCATTATTTTGTTGCTGCGTTTGAGATTTTGGATAAATTGATATGATTGTTTAGGAAGTTCATGTTTAATGCAAGCAACGCGATGGTTAATGGATTATGATATCATGAATAGATTTAGTATTTAGTTACTAAATGTTCTTAATATTCATTCTAAAAAAAAAATGTTCTTAATATTGTATTCTGTTTTTCATAAAATTTTTACCTTTCTAGTTCCTATTCCTGATCCGAGGAATGAATTGTCCTGCTTAATGCTTGAAATGCAATGGGTGAGATTTATCATGTCATCACAAATAATTGGGTTATTTAGTTTAACTGCTGGTAATATTGTTTTTGGTTTAATTATTTTCCTAGTTCAACAAATGGATTATCATGGAATCCGTGTCGCCTTTGCTGTTGAAATTTGATTTACAGTTTCATTGAATCCTTCACAAGTAATTTTGAACTAGCTGTTAAAAAATTTTCAGTTTCATTGAATCCTTCACAAGTAATTTTGAACTAGTTGTTAAAAAACACTAGCTTCGCTGTATCAGAGCGGCAGCCCGCCATTAACAATCCCTAGTTTTCTTGATCGTATTTTGAGAGAGAGAGAGAGAGAGAGAGAGAGAGAGAGAGAGAGAGAGAGAGAGAGAGAGAGAGAAAGTAGTACGTACGTAGTAACGTAACGTAACGTAACGTAACCGTACCGTACCGTACGTACCGTTACGGTTACCGGTTACCGGTTACCGTTAACGTAACGGTAACGTACG